GCAAATACTGGGCATGCACCGGCTCCTGAATGTACCTGAACCCGCTCCAGTGTTGGTCAAGTCTTCTCTTGAAAGAGCTCACACTCGGTGCCGTCACAACACTTTCTGGTAGATTGTTCCAAGAGTTTACAACCCTCACTCCGAAAAAGTTTGCCCTCACGGTTTTCCGGACTTGCGGCTTCTTCAATCTTGAGCTGTGACCCCTTGTGGGGCGAGCGTCCGCCAGCTCCAAGTAAGGACACTCAACTGAGTAGTGCCCCCTGAGATGCTTATAAACCTCAACTAGGTCCCCCCTTGCCCGTCTGTAGTATAAGCTAGGCAAGTTCAGGCGCTCCAATCTCGCAGGGTAGCTGAGATGCCGAAGTGCAGGCACCAGCTTGGTGGCCCTCCTTTGAACATTTTCAACCAACTGACAGTCCCTAGCATATCTCGGGGACCAGATGGGGTGACAGTACTCCAGATGGGGAAGCACTTCACTCCTGAAGATCGTCACGAGGGACGGACCGTCTAGATATCTGAACGACCTTCTTATAAGACCCAATAATTTATTTGCCTGATTTACCTTCTTCTCACAATGGCCCGAGAACTTCAGCTCATTGTCAACATACACACCTAGGTCCTTCTCACACACAGTCTCAACTAGTACATTTTCTTCATCCCGTTGGGACATATGGTACGCCTCCTGGAAAATGTGTGTCTTAGGAATACTGGAAGGGAACCACAAGGAGCAACTGCGTTACTGTATTGTTGACGAGTTGTACATGGCAGTGATATGCTTCGTGTTGTCCTCGAGACGACCTGGGGACTCTTCCTTTGACTTCTAACAAGGCATTGATATTGATATATTGAAACAGTCTATTTAGCCCAAAAAACAAACAAACAGATACAGAGTGGATAATAATAACAATATTGATATGACTGAGCCAATTGAGAGCCTGGGCTGTCTTAGTGGCACCTGGTATATACTGTACATTTATCTCAAGGAAGTATTATATAACATTTCGTATCATCTGGAGTAATACACGAAACATGGTGTTAGTAAATACACAAAAGAATGTTATCACGATTATCACTGATAAAGTAGCGTGGAGGACACCTGTGGGGTATAAAGCGACTTGTTCTTGGGGAATCCCGGAAGGAAATTCATACGATAGTTGACGTAGAAGTTTTTCCTGAGATGGTTAACTGCCTTTTATAAGACGGCAGCACGATTTCCCATGTCCTTAACGTCACTGATGGGAGATAAGGAGGCGTGGGGGAGTCCTACAAGTCTCCTGCGGCCTTTCCTTGGGAATTCTGGGTGAGTGAGGGAGGAGTGGGGGAGTGGGGGAGGAAAGAGGTTGTAAAGACAAAACTGGTCCAGTCATCCTCGTGTCCCACCTAATGACCGCTGAAAAATGCCTTTATGCCTGGGAGGGACGACCGAGGCCCCGACACCTAGGGTAACTGATTAGTGTCAGCCATTCCCTGCCCCTCAGCCCTCTCCCGCCCCTCAGCCCTTCCCCGCCCCTCAGCTCTCCCCCGCCCCTCAGCTCTAACCCCCCCTCAGCTCTAGCGCCCTCAGCCCTTTCCTATCCCAAAGCCCCCCACCCCTCAGACCTCCAATGCCCCTGAGCCCTCCAATGCCCCTCAGCCTCCAATGCCCTCAACCTTCCCATGTCTCTCAGTCCTCCCTTGCCCCTCAGCCCTCTCCCGCCCCTCAGCACTCCGCCCTCACACAGTCACTTTCTGCCTCGTGCTGTCTTTCTCTGCTTCCATCTCTGCCTCTCACACACACACACGCACACACACACACACACACACACATTCGTGAGTTGGCACCTTACCTGGGCACAGTCTATAGCTGGTCATTATTCTCCTCTTGACAGTGAGTTATCTTTTGTCACTGTTATGGCTGGCGGTGACTTATGTGATGTCTAAGGTATTCTATTTCTTGTAGTGTAGTGACTGCCCATAACAACTCACAACCAGTAACGTAACTGTAGATCACGATAACACTAACCTAACCTAACCTAACCTAACCTAACCAAACCAAACCAAACCAAACCTAACCAAACCAAACCAAACCAAACCAAACCTAACCTAACCCAATGCGAACCTAATTTCATAACCTAACCTAACCTCATAACCTAACAAAACCTAATCTATGCTAACCTAACCTAACAAAACTTAATCAACTTTGTTAATTAACCTAACCTAACCTAACGCTCGTTGAACTGCGGTCACCCATAAGACATACAGCACTAAACTTAACACTAATGTTTTTCTTCTTTCCCAAATTAAATTATTTGAGATTCCACCAAATTTTTTTACAACACAATCAATGAATGTTATTGGTGCTCTCTGGACAAAATAGCCATCTTCTGAGAACGTTTTCCCCCAGTGATAATTTTCCTATGAATCACCGTAACAGAAAAACCGCGTTTATTAATACTCCACGGCCCTTGGTGACGGGATCAGTTTCCGCCACAGACCAGGGATACCTCACCACAAGGGAGGCCAGGCTAACCTTCATTGGACTACTGATTAATATAATGTAACATATAATTACTCAAGATGTCAATGGGTTATCATTATGAAGTATTGTAAATAAATAAACACATATAATGAGACCACTACACCTGAGTCGCCCCTCACACTCTTTCACTACAACAGTATCAAGTTAACAATCAAACAACCCTGAACAATTTGACAACATTCACATTTTCAACGTTTAATTTAATAATTAATTCTTTTTTCCCTCCTTATTCTGGCATCTCTAGGAAGTGGCGCCGTGCCCTGTCTGAACCCGGGTTTGTTAGGTTAGGTTCCAATGGTTTAAAAAGTCAAATAATCTGGGGGTGTCTAATCTTCAGGTGATCCGTAACTCCTCCAATTACTACTACAGAATGGCTCTATTTTCCCCAGTAGTGACAGTGCTAATTAATACACCTTTCTCAAGCCCTAGTTAATGGTAACGAATCATCACTCTCTTGAGACCCAGCGTGCCCTAGAGGGGGTATAATAAGTTTACTGATCACTCAACTGCCAACAGACACATGAGCTTGTTAGGCAGATGCAGCCAATTACTCAGAATGACCTGAATGTCTCAATGAGGTCTCCCGGGGTCACACGATATGCACCTGTTTATTGTCAAGGTGTGGCGAGTCTTAATGAGTCGATTACTTTTCTTGTTGTTGATTTTTTTAATTGTCGTTGTTGCCGCCGAAATCATTGAGTATAATTTACTACTACTACTACTACTACTACTTTTTTTTTTTAATAATGGCCTCCAGCCTCCCCCAATAGCCACACCTTCGCCACCATTTAATTACCTTAACATTAAATATCCTAATACATATGTATCTATCCTATCTGTGTTAAATTAGTTGAGCCGCAGATCTATGCGGCATTCAGTGACTGTAGCCTCATAGTCAATATCTGCAGCAGTTGTCGGAATTGGGGCAGAAGCTCTCGTTCCCCTGAGGCAGAGCAAAGCCGACCGAAGGAGAGAGAAAGACTACTACTACTACTACTACTGTGATTATTGTAGTTATTGTGATAAATATTACTGCAATTTTATTCATTCTTACAACTTCAGTACTACTATAATGAAGTTAATTTAATTCACTGAAAAAATGTCAATACAAAGAAAGTGATTACCTTGTTGGTTTACTCCTATTACTACTAATACCCTTTTTTCTTCCTTTCATTTTTATAACTTTCAGTCTCCTCTTGTAGCTACACCTTCTCCACATATTTTATTACCTAAGTATCCTAATGCAAAATTATCTATCATAGCCGAGTTAGTTAAGCCGCATGTAAATGCAGCATTCTGTGACTGTTGCTTCATAGTCTATGTCTGCGACTTTTGTTGGTTGAAGAGCCGAAGATCTTGTTCCTTGAGGCACAGCAGCACAGTCTGTCTAGAAGCACCTTACAGTTCATTGGGTTCCATCCCACCCGATGTTTTGACCACCAGAAGAGTGAAGCCGATTTGGTCCACATTCTGGATTCTCTGTGGTACCTTCTAGTCTTTTTGTTCTTGACCCACCTGTGTGCAGCGTCGACAGGCAGGTCATGGTGACATGCAGCCAGGGGATAAAAAATCCTGATGGTTCGCTGTCCCCTCATCCAGAATCTTCGAGCACTGACGTGTACTCGGGCTTCGTTGGTTGTGTTGGCAGACTTGTTCATGAAACACTCGCTGTCCAATGGTAGGAGGGTCGGTTCCTTCAACATATTTGCTGTGCTGCCCCTTACTTCATTGTGCCTCATGCAACGAAACCTCTCTTCGTGCACACCATAGCAAGGTTGAGGCATAGGGCGTTCCACATATGCACTGGGCTGGCATGCCTTCCACTGGTCAACCGAACCTTAGAACAATGGCATCTGTGAATTCTTGTTTATTAAGGCTGAAGCCCTTTGGTCTTATCGGTAAAGTTGTTAGCCAGTTAGAAGCACCCACCTCGTGCACTACAGTTACTTTTCTCTTCACGATCCCTGACAGTTGTTGCATCAATTGTTGAAGTTTTTCACTTTGGGTGTTCTGCCGTTCTGTCGTCTACCTCACTCGCGGCATTTTGAGCAACTATGTACTCAGTGAGGGCTGCCGTGAGCTTGAGTGAGTTATGATGTTCAGTGGTAGTAAGCTCCTTCGGGACAGTGATCCCCATTCCTCTTTGTCTCGGTGGTAGTGCAAGGAGTGATTTACTACAACAACAACTACTACAACTATTAATGTAAAGATCCTTATTGCCATCAATACTACATACACTACAAACTGTAATGAATGAAATTGAATGAAGGGAGAGTCAATATTGGCAGCATAGTGAGAGAAAGTTTGAGAGAATGAAGAATAACCCGCTATTAATATTATTATTATTTAGAATGAGTTCACTCTGTGTTATACAATATATCTGCAAGAAAGTCTATATATTCCCCTTCACTGAGTTATATAATGAATATGTGTCTTTTATTTCAATTATATATTCATCAACTTGTATGTGTGTTTCCCCCAGAGTGCCGTAAAGCAGCGCCAGCCCATCATTGTTCTACACGACGCTCTGGTGAGACTTACAAAACTCTCTTGGTAATTTAAGAGTAAACTTTATTTTACACACCATTACACCTAGATCTATTTATCTTCCAATATTTCTATCAAAACTACGTTATGTCACGCCATATATAGCATCTATCTGTCTGTTTCTATGTTATCTTACCGTCAGCTCCACTTTCTCAAAACTCGCGAGATATTTCGTAACCATGATATTACCAACAACACCTATTTACTGGACACTATTTCTCAGTGCACCTTCTTATCCCCTATACCTTATTGATGTCTTTGGTGAGGCTGCTAAATGTGTCCTTGCTTCCAATTAGGGAAGTTCGTGTATACCTCCTAACAACTATTTGCAACTCCATACCAAAAATTCTGATGCTCCAACACCGCCATCTTTCACTCTCCCATAAATATTAACTCCCAGGAACATGAACATGGGGCTAATGACGTAAAAATCTGTAATTTCTAAGTAACTCACATTGATACTTCTCTCTCTTTCTCTCCCAAACCCTTTTTTTTAAGTTCTCTACTTTTCTCTCAAACTCCTTTTTACTTTCTGTCCTTTTTTCTCAAGCTCATTTTTATTTTATTGAGTGTATAGATCTTTACTATATTTGCTTCCTCTCTCTCTCTCTCTCTCTCTCTCTCTCTCTCTCTCTCTCTCTCTCTCTCTCTCTGTCTGTCTCTTTCCCATGACAAAAAACCCTACTGGTTCATAAATAAGCAGCACACAGGGGTAGATAGTTACTACCCAGAACTCTCCTATCTCTCTCTGTGTGGTAATGGCGTGTGGTGGTAATGGTGGTGGTGTGTGGTGGTGGTGGCGTGTGATGGTAATGGTGCTGTGTAGTGGTGGTGTGTGATGAGTGTGTGGTTGTGTGTGGTGGTGATGGTGTGTAATGGTGATGATGCTGGTGTGTGGTGATGATGCTGGTGTGTGGTGATGATGCTGGTGTGTGGTGATGATGCTGGTGTGTGATGGTGCTGTGTGGTGGTGATGCTGGTGTGTGATGATGGTGTGACGGACACATCAAACGGACACATAAACACCCCAGACGGACACATAAAGCCCCAGACGGACACACAAAGCCACAGACACTTGATCTAGAATGATATCCGAAGCCGGGGACGTAAAAATTAGCATATGAAACACACTGATAACATAAATATCTTAAAATAGATAAGAAAATGTTCAAACTAATCAGTAGCGTTTGTTGTTATTTCGTCACCTCCGTCTGGCGTGACTCAACCAATCACGATCTTCCCTTGATTTGGTCCAGTTGTAAGCTTGGAGTAGACAGAGTATATAGTATACGTCAATTTAGCGCTAGTTAGGAAATAATGTATATTAACGCAGATATCTTTTCTGGAGTAAATTATCCTATTGAGGTAATTTGACTTAAGTGGTGGTGGTGGTGGTGTAATGAAGTTCTCTGCCAAGAATAAAGGTAACTACAGAAAGTGATTAAATAAATAAAAAATGGAAGAGTTGTTATTACCTGACGATCCAGATTGTAATTTTTTTACTGTGAAACCAGAGCTAAATGGGGAATAAAACTTGTGTTGACCTAAAATACTTGCACCAAGCTTATGATCGCAATTTATGATCCGAGTAGTTATTCTGGCATCAGGTGGTGAAGGTGAAAGTAGCTGGGTGAAGGTGAAGGTAGCTGGATGAAGGTAGCCGGGTGAAGGTAGCCGAGTGAAAGTGAAGGCAGCTGGGTGAAGGTGAAGGTAGCTGGATGAAGGTAGCCGGGTGAAGGTAGCCGAGTGAAAGTGAAGGCAGCTGGGTGAGGGTGAAGGTGAAAGTAGACGGGTGAAGGTGAGGTACTGGCACAACAAACTTGTTACTACTGTGTCAAGTGAACGTTATCCCGTTACCGTTGTTTAAGCGTAATGTGCTTTCTAATTTTGTACGTTAAATTTGTCATTTAGCGGAATTCAACCAGTTGGGTATATTCTCACATCTTCAGTTACAAACAACCTGGGGGAATCAGGGTCCAGGTGGGGGTCTTCTCATGGTCCGGCGGCCCCTAAGGACATGCCCTTGTTGACCTTTTATCTATTTCGAGGTCCTCCTCCCTCAGGGCCACAACCCATTCTAAATTCTCACTCAAAACCGATGAGATTTCTTGGAAAAACTCCCGAGGAAAAGATTGTGTGACTGGGAGGTAGGGGAGGAAACGAAAAGGGAACAATGTCCCGTAATGGTTTCGTTGTATTTTATCAGTTTATGAACAGTCAACAGGATGAGAGTTACCTGAGCAGAGCGACCAGTGCCGCATTATATATATTGTATATATATATATCTTGATAAAATCACACGGGAAAAGGGAAACAACGGAGTACCTTAGCTTTCGTCTTTATTCAAGACATCTTCAGAGGCAACTGAAAATGTCTTGAATAAAGACGAAAGCTAAGGTGCTCCGTTGTTTCCCTTTTCCCGTGTGATTTTATCAAGATTTATCTTATCCACGTTTTCATTGTGGATCTACATATATATATATATATATATATATATATATATATATATATATATATATATATATATATATATATATATATATATATATGAATGAACATAGCATTGGATTCCTGGCCTGTCATAACGCTATATTTATGTTGTTTAAGTCTAGTTATAAGATCTTTTCCTGTCTGGCCCAAGTATAACATATTACATTCCATGCAAGTTGCAATTAACCTTGTAAATGTAGCCACCCGCATTGTTGGGGGAGTTCTTAAATAACATTTGTTTTACAGTGCATGAGTTACTAAATGTTACATTTTCGTTCCAGGTTTTCTGTTGTGGAGGAATTTGAGATAAATTTTTGTTAAATGGTAATTCTAAGAGATTCTTATTGTCATGGTGAGGTTTAGAATCAGTTCTATAAAAATATTTCTTAGCGATGTTAAGGTATTTGTCTTTAAAAGAACTTGTGTTCTATAATATTGGATTGAACTTATAACTAGACTTAAATAGCATAACTATAGTGTTAGGACAGGCCAGGAATCCAATGCTTTGTTCATTCATATGAGAGATAATAAACATTGCATTGACTGGGATAATGCCTCCTCAATATTACCTTGTAATTCAATTGTCAGTAGGAACATCATAGAATCCAGTCTCATTAAACATACCGAATCTGTCAACATGAATTTGAGTAATGGCTTGTACAAACTGGATAATTTTGTGATTAATAAGATTTGTAACCTGAATATCGTGGACACCTGCTGTCCTTAGGGACTATATTTCACTCTGGCGCTCAATTTACCTACTCTGGCGCTCAATTTACCTCCCCTGGCTCTCAATTTACCTACTCTGGCGCACTCATTATGACAAGACCAAAGATCTTCCAAGAAGAGAAAATGATGCACGAGCAGGAAGGTTTGGTTAGGTTAGGTCGGGTGGGGTGGAGTGGGGTCAGGTTAAATTAGTTTAGTTTAGGCTCAGTTAGGGTAGGTATGGTTAGGTTAGATTAGATCGCGTTGGGTTTGGTTAAATTGGTTTAGGACGGCAGATGAGGAATGATACTAAACAATAACAAATATATAAGTAAGAAGGTCAAACACCTTTCTAGTACATTTCATAATACAGTTATAATTCTAAAGATTATTTCAAATGTTAGAAGTTTGAGCACAGTCGGACACCTTATGATAACACTCAGGTAAATAAGGCACTTTACCAGCCCCTTAAGACTCGTCGAAGCATTTTGAGACACAGATCAGGAGTCCTGTTAAGATCCCATTAAGGATGACGCGAGTGGAGATAAGGATTTAGAAATGTGAAAAACTGTCTTTGAAAATATAAGGTGTGTGTGTGTGTGTGTGTGTGTGTGTGTGTGTGTGTGTGTGTGTATCTTGATTTGGAAGTGGTTTATCAAAGAGGTTGGATAGGGCGCAGCGACACTGGTCACCTTGTCTGCCCAGCATATTTACATGAACGGTTCCCAGCAGAAACTGACCTGAAAGCCGAGTTGCCCAAGAAAGGCACTCCATTACTTCAAGAATCACAGTCAAGAGAGGGTTTAAAAACTCTATAGACGGTGAAGAGCGCTACTCCCTGAATCACTAAGAATGGAACAACTCCTGTTTTCAAGGCCCATAATCACCTCCAAGGCCAGGATAATCGCAAACAATTCACAGTAAACACTGACGCAGCAATCGGTAGAATACCAGGCCAGTAAATATAGGAAGAGAGTCCTCGTGTTGGGATGTAAGATTTAAAAACGCAAGACGCAGCATCTGTTCCTAAAATGTCGTCAGAAGAGCACCTCAGGGAGAGTACAAGGGGCAATTGTAGGAACTTCAGCGGAAAAACTAGTTATGAGAGAGATGGAGGTTACACAACACCACGTAAGCATAACATCTTACCAATACAGAGTAATCAGTGACTGGTGTCCCAGTTCCACTGGGATTTCCTCAGAATCATTCAAGAGGCTCGGGTTAGGGAAGTCTTTAAAGTCACAGCAGCCAGACGAATAACAGCCTGATAGATGCCATCTAATGTTTTTATAAACGAGCCGGTGTTGCCGATGAGTAAACTTCGCATTCATCGGAAACAGTGTATATATGCTTGCAAGTGTGTGTGTGTGTGTGTGTGTCTGTGTGTGTATGCTCTCTTTCTCTCTCTCTCTCTCTCTCTCTCTCCAGAAAGAGAAGAGAGAGAGAGAGAGAGAGACGGGAGGATGTCTGCACCTCATCATCAGCTGATGCAAATTGCAGTGTTTTCCAAGTAAAAAGTCATCACGCGGGGTGAGTCACCTGGCGACCACCCTGGCTAACACGCAGCCTCCATCCCACCCTTCTCTTCCACCACCCCACCCTCCCTTCCACCACCCCACCCCTCCCTTCCACCACCCACCCCACCCCACCACCCCACCCTCCCTTCCACCAACCCACCCTCCCTTCCACCACCCCACCCTCCCTTCCACCACCCACCCTCCCTTCCACCCCACTTCCCTTCCACCACCCACCCTCCCTTCCACCACCCCACCCCTCCCTTCCACCACCCCACCCTCCCTTCCACCACC